GCTGCTTTGGTTAGGTGTACTTAAACTCATAGTTTTGGTCAGACTTTAAAATTGCAGTGTTCAGCCCCTACTCTCCCCTCACATTCCTCCTTGTTAAAAAAATAATAATAAATAAATAAAAAGTCTTAATAATATTACTTAAAAATTTGAATGGATGCAGTATTTAAGATCTAAGAGATCAAGATAGGGCAATAACAAAGCTACTTAAGTTAAAAGATAACTGATGTTAACATCTTAAGCTTCCAAGTAATCTCAATGCCATGTCAGTTCCAAGGGAAATAGGTAATCTAACAAATAATAATCCACATCCATTGGATCATTAATTAAAGCCATGTCTAAATGAATCCAAGAGAGATTTTGAATTGTTATCAGCCTCCTCTCCATGCTACGAACAATCGAGGTAAGTGTTGTAATCAATTTGAGCCTAGTTAGTCCCATCACGCTATCATCTTCTTCAAACCGAGGTAAAACCCGGTGAAAAACAATAAGAAAGTCCAAGCATGCACCACAAAGGGGAGAAACAAAAGAACCCCCACAAACGGCAGAGAAATTTGAGATATGAAAATCATTATAATCGTATATTTTTAAAATTTAATAAATTTTAATTTTCTTAATTAGACATAGAACACTATATATTAATAGTTTTATTCCTTTAAGAAACAAAATACAAGTTTTTTCAAAAAGTTTTATCAAAATTTTCATATAAGATATTATATGAATATCAATTTTCATTAATTTTAATTGAGAAAAATAATTTTTATTTTTCAAAGTAGTATGTGTTATGTTATTGTCAATAAGACATAAGTTTTCATCATTGATTTTACTATCATACAAGTCCATTTGATCTTAAAATAAAAATAAAGGAAACAAAAGAAGAAAATATTCAAATACTGTAAAAGTAATTATATATATGAGGAAGAATTTATTTACACATAAATCTTATATATTACACTTACACAAAATCTCAATTATTTATCTTTTCATTTTTAATAGTTCAAATTTATTACGATTTTTTAAATAAAAAAATAATTATTTTTAATAAATATGAATAAACTTCAACTATTAAAAGTGAAAAATAAATGATTTGGATTTCTGGTAAGTATTGTAGGTAAAACTTGATGTTTAAGTAGATCCCTAGAGTGGGTATGTATATATAGAGTAAAATAATTTATTTTTTTATTAAATATAAAAAGACATTGAAATATAAAATATAGAAAAGAAAAATAATTATTTAGAATAAATTATTTAAAAAAACATAATAAGTCAAACTATTAGTTAGATATTTTCATCATTAACATTATTAAACATTTCAATACTTTAAAAAAAAATCTATAATATCAAGATATATATCAAGATTTATATTTTTTATATTCAATAAAATTCATACATGAATCTTTTTTTTTTTTTTTTGAACAGGTTTACAAGGGGTTGAATCGAACCCCAACCCAGAGAAAAGAGAGAGTACAACGTGAGCTGACTATTGCCACTTGTCCCGAAGGGCTCGGTGCATGAATCTTTTTCTTTTTATTAAGTGAAGCTGTGTAAAAATTAATCAAATGACCAGAAAAAGTCTTCAACAATCTCTCATTATTAATTACAAGGTGGTACAATCTACGCATGATCAAATGCGAAAACGCGTGCTCTTTTTTTATTTTTGTAAGTTTAGAATATGAGTGAACATACAAAGGCCGACAAAGGAGAAAAAATGTAACAGACCCCACCCTGATTTAAGATTGCCTACCAGCGGAAATTTTTGTGAATTGACCTGTTTGTCCTAACGTTCTTATCCTTTGACGTCTATATATTTACTCTC